AATTGAGGTTTAACCTCTTTTTTTTTTCCTTAATGAAAACTAGTATTTTATTAATACAACATCATTTTCATACAATAAATATAAAAAGATAACAATGATAATAATTAAAACTATATGATTGAATAGATCTCGACAATAGCAAGTGTTAAAATTGGTATTTCCAATAGCAAATGATCCTTCCAAACTTATATTAGTCTTGCGAAAACTTGTAGTATCACACCTTCGCAAATCTATCACTCCATTGATGAAAAATCTCTCCCTACCGACCATAATTAAAACAATAAAAAACAAGTAACAAACTTTATGTATAGTATAACAAACCCTAACATGTAGGAACTAGAACCCAATAAAAGAGAAAACCCAACAAATTAATATCAAGATCTGGATAGTTCAAATTTCAATCTATAATAACAAACAAATTGAAATCCAAATTTGTAAACATCCAAATCCCCTTTATTTTAAAACACACATAAAGATATGAAAATATAAATACATATTTGACAAAAAAGAAAAGAAAAAGAAAAAGAAATGGAGGATCAAGGAAGGGAAGAAGGAAAAAGATAAAGGAAAAGGTTGAGGGTTTTAGGGCTGACAAAATATATATGCTGACAAAAGCCTTATATATAGATCTCCCTTGATAATGAAATTAATATCAAACTAGTCGATGTCATGTGAAACAATTTTGATTCTTTTATTATTTGTATACATTAGTTATTTGTATATTTAACTATATTATCATAAGTATTTAATTAGTTGTTGTTGTTATGTTCATTTTTATTGTTTCTATTATGTTTAAACATGAATATTAAGAGATATAAACCCATTGAAAATTCTTAACCCAAAATTTGTATAATTTTTAGAACATTTTTTTTCCAACTTGATATCAGTTTTTAATTTTTTATATTGATTGAAACTTCATTTAGAAAATTTCTATTATAAAAAAATAATATAATTTTTTTAAAAATATATATAATATATATTTTCTCTATGTATGTTGAATTTGAATTCTTAATTACTATTTTTTTAAATACTATCTGTATCACTTAATTTTATATTTTTATTAAAAAAAAGGACTTAATTAAAAAGTAATAAAAGTTTAAATAATAGACAATCCAACTAATGTATTACTGTAAACTTTTTCTAGTTTAATATATAATTTTATTGCTTTTATATCTTATACAAAATATATTCAATATGCATCTTAAATAGAAATTTACTGTATGACCTTTCAATTAATTCAAGTAAAAATAATTTACAATAAATCTATGCTAATAAAATTTAATTCAAAGTTTTTCATTAAAAGCTTTTCTCATATATATATATATATATATATATATTCAACTTGGTATCAATGTTTTGATTTTTTTTTAAAAATTATTTACATTTTATATATCAATTTTCAACTATGTATATGTATCAATTGATCAATTTTAATTCTGATTTACGTCAAAACATTCGATATTGACATTGAAGGTCATAGAATGTAATTCCCATCTATATCTATATGTGACTACATAAGCTATCATTATTTACCCGAATGGGAACATATTATTTGTTAAGTTCAACTTTGGTTTCACCCCGTCCCTCTACATGTAAAAGAAATGCTATGTCCTAAAAGCTTTATAGACAGCATACCATTATTTCTTTTTAGGTCCAAATATCACTTTGAGGATAACAATAATATCAAAATATATCCTTAGAAAAGAATATTAAAAAACGACATTTAATTATCGTGCATGTAAGGGTCATACTTTCTCACAAATCAATCATATAAAATCGTATTAATCATATACAGTACTTTCGCTTTCTCTTAAAAAAGTGTGGAGCATTTAATTTAATTTAATTTTTTTGAGAACGATCTTCATAGTATTAATTTTGTTTTTAATCAAGACATCGATGTCGCCCACGTGGAACACCATCATTTCGACGTGGACATAAGCATTAAGGGTCCTCCGACGTCAGATAAAAAGACTAGCAGCAGTTTTCAGTTGGAAATGGTTAGGGGATAAGCCAAAACGATGCAAAAGAAGATAGGGTTTTTATCTCAAATCAAAGTTGGGAGTGACGAAAAAGATATATATATATATATATATATATATATATAGACAAAGAAATGACAATGATCATACACAAAGGAAGATAAAAAAGAAAAGAAAAGGGAAAGCACTTGTAGAAATTATTATACGCGGAAAAGAAGCTCAAGAATCCTTTTCTTATAAATCCTTGACATGGAGAAAAAGATTGTTATTCTTCATGAATAAATTTTGGATGCTTTTGCCGACTACAAAATTCTTATAACGATAAGGAGGAAGTGGTAATGAAGTGATGTCATTGTGGTGATGATCACAAGGGACAAATTAATGGAGTCGGGTTCGCAGGATATGGACCGAAATGTGGATTAGTAAAGGTTGCGTGATCATGATTTCAAACTCTGTATATATTGTAGAGTTCACATCTCATTTGGATTTTAAACATTCAAAGCATATGATTATGAAACTAACCCTACTGTTTGGAATCCGACAGAATTTCATGCACCATATGATATTGTTCTTGTCAAGTTTCTGGGTAGTCACTCTATTCAATGATTTTCATGTGATTCCTTATTGAGAAATTCCTATCGTGGTTGTTCTTTTCTCACACATGGGCTGCTCTTGAACAAAGCAATAATATGAATGTTAGATGCATACCAAAAAAAAAAAAAAACTCAAATTACTTTTAATTATTATAGTGTAATTATAAAATTAATCTCGAAAAAAAAACCAATTAACCAGGTGAAAGGGCAAAATTATCTTTTCACCAATTGTTTTTAACTTATTATATTGATTTAGATCTATCATTTCTTTATTTTTAGTATAGTTAAATTAATACTTTGGCATTTGAATAAAACAGTCTAATTCCTTTTATTCCAGGGTGTTTTGGTCATATTATTTTTTAAAATAGTGCAATTACTTCTATATATATATATATATATATATATATAGCTGTCCTATAAAGATTTTTTTTTGTATCATTTTATATTGATTTGACCTTTAAAAACAGCCTTTTGGGATGGTGTTTAGAAGATCTCGACACCTTCTACACAACATTGTTATGTGTTTACTAGAAGTGTCTCTAGTTTGGTACTAGCAATCATTTTTTTTTCTTTTCTCTCTACTCAAAATTTGCATTCGGCCTAAAAAAATTCAGAAAAGTTCATTGATTAGTATTTAAAAGTATATTTTTATCAAGGTTTTATATCATTATTTTACACTTGAAGTATCCATAACTCCTTAACTAGAATACGTTTTATAATAACATATCTAACAAATATAAGATACCTTTAATTTATTATAAATATTCATCTTAAATGTAGGCCTATCACATCAATGAAAGGATTGATTGATAAGTTTAACTACTGAAATAGAGAAGACAAAGAAAGAGCTAAGTTTAGAAAAAAGATGCTGGTTCAATCCAAATTGAAACACTGTTTAGTCATTGGGTTATATTTAGAGCTGCAGATCTTGGATTTTAGTTTGGTTTATATGGATAGAAAGCTAAGATATAGAACTAAAACATTTATGAAGAGGTTAAGACTTAATTCTGCTATTTGAAAGTCCAAATCTTAGCATAAAAAGAGAAGTCCGAATTTGTCCTGCAGCGTAGATATTATTCAGTTTTTACCCCATATCTTGAGTTTTAGAAGTCTAAATGTACTGATTCTTTTTTTGTTGAAAAGATGAGATAATTTCCCAAAACTTTCATGCAGATTATTTATTCAAATTCTGACGTTAGTAATGATACTTTGCTCAAATAAGAAGATAAGTATTGTCACCAAGTCAAGATGGGCCACTCACTCAACAATTAGTTATCAAATCAATAGTTTTAAATTTTGACCTATAAAATGGGGCATTTGCTATGCATTTCAATATCTTGGTTTTCATATCAAGATCATGTTCTTGCTCCCTTTCTTTATATTTTTATAATGCTTAAGTTTTGCTTTCATTCAAAACTTTCATGCAGATTATTTATTCAAATTCTGACGTTAGCAATGATACTTTGCTCAAATAAGAAGATAAGTATTGTCACTAAGTCAAGATGGGCCACTCACTCAACAATTAGTTATCAAATCAATAGTTTTAAATTTTGACCTATAAAATGGGGCATTTGCTATGCATTTCAATATCTTGGTTTTCATATCAAGATCATGTTCTTGCTCCCTTTCTTTATATTTTTATAATGCTTAAGTTTTGCTTTCATTAATATCTTATTTATGCCTAATCGAATGAATGTCATGTTTAACCATGTTGACTCATTGTCTTACTAGGTAGTTTAGACACTTTGGAAGAAATCTTTCATATTTTCTTTTAGGCTCAACTGCATATTCACCATAAACCTATAGGTTTGTTAAATGTTAATGATTTTTATGATAATTTGTTCTCTTTTCTTGATCATATTGTAGAACAGAAATTTCTAACATCTTTGGCACAAAAAATCATAATCTCTATTGCTACTACTGAATAATTGATTGATCAATTATAATCTTTCATCCCTATAATTGATCTTTCTATGAGTCGCATATATTGGTCAACTAAGAAAACATCCCTATAATTGATCTCTCTATGAGTCGCATATATTGGTCAACTAAGAAAAGCCATAAAAAGCTTAAATTGAATTTGAGCCTTCATTTGTGAAACCTTGTGTCTTTTGGTTTTATTAATAGCATATTATTTTATTTTGTTATTTCTTATATTTGTTTAAGTATGATTCAAGATTATTAATGCTCGTTATTTCAGGTGATATCCTCTATATTCTATTTTTCTACCTTAGGATATTAAGGGCAATGTCTCATTTTGGTCGGAGGTAAGTTGAAAAAAAATCCTAACTAACTAACCAACTAACTGCTTTTGTTTTTAATAAAACCATTTGACAAAACTGTTATTACTTGGATGACAGAGTAAGGGTGAATTTTATTAACTCTTAAGATGCAAAATTTTCTAATGGTTATTTGCAATATTCATAACAAGGTCTATCACATATTTCTCTTGAAATATTTAGGTCTACAAACTCCCATATTATTATCACTTGATTATATTCGTATACTCATTTAATAAGTATTTTTAAACCTATATTTTCACACACACACTTTAACATATAATTATGGGTTGCACATTGAATTATTACATTATTTATGTTCTTTTGTTAAAGGTAACAACTAAGGGAAAGA